GGTTAAACATTTTTATTCACATTCAACCAAGAGAGTTGCAAAAAGATCGATTTGGCAACTTACGTGCATTATTTTGATTGGATGCGCATTCGGGAAGGTCATTCCTGATAATGTGGGCTGGTAACTACCAGTTTATCTCTTGCTAGATTTAGTATTAAACCGACTACAATGTGACGCCTTCAAATCGATTCATTTAACTTATCTAGTGACTTGGGTTGGATCGGCTGGCCAATCACGATACAACAGACTAAAATTTTCCCTAGCGAAATTCATGCCTAAAATGTATAAGAACATCAAACGGGCTCGTTTTCGTAGATAGACTTGTGCCAGTCAGGCGACTTTTTTTCCTGTCCTATTCGTCTTTCCACAATTCAGGCACTTCGGACGATTTTGGTGCCAAAATGTCATCGCTAATTAGCAAAAAACGGACCAAATGAGCACCCCGTCCTGACCTATTTGATCAACTCTCACTAGACCGTTTGTTCTGGACATCTATAAATACCCCAGATGCAATTGAATTTTACGCGATAGCAATTAGGTGTCTTTGCATACCAGCTCATGGGTTTGCTCAAAAAACGGTTGATAAAGAATCGTTTCGCCAAAAAGATCGTCAGAGTATTTTCTTCTGCCTTTCGAACTCTATCATAAAAACGCAGGAATGCTGCAATCAGATATGCTTATTTCCCAATCGCTGATTGAATGCGTCTGATCTACGCACATCATGTTAATGTGGCGCTTACTAATCAGGCTACGGCACATGCTCGTTCCGTTGCCTCTTGTCTTTTTTGGTATTCCATTGTCATTATGGGCTCATATTCGCCGCAGGTTTGACAAAGGGGATACAATTTGGGCGTCTGAAGAAACTTTCTCAGATCCCCTTAATGCCGTTGTTTCCTCGTCTACTGACTGCAACTGTTGTGCCCACGCGCAAGAGATGCGCTGAACCACCAACGGGGGAGGGACAAGATTAGGCGACGGCAAACGTTATGTAGGCTGCACAAACATACCAAATGCCACGCATGGAGAGTACGGTGGCACGCCTAGGCGAAGACTCAAGCCGCGCCGTCCATCTGCATACAATCCTCGCATCAGATGGCCGACCGGCCTAGATAATAGATTGGTGTCTGAGAGAGGGAAGAGGAAGGGAAGCCGACTCTGGGCACTCCGTCCCACGGCATTATAAAAGATCTAATGCGGTTTAAAATTATCGTGTTTTGTCGCAATCTCAGGCCTGAAAAGTTGCAAACTGACGGACTAACTCGGTTCTCTCAGGAGGGAGAGTCAGGCTTCTTGTTTAGCCTCTACGGCACTCCCGCTCAGTTGGGATCTGAGCCGCTGCTTCGTTGTTTTGTGTGAAGACCTGGTTCTTTGCCCGCCGACCGACCGTGTGTTGCGCGCGCAGACGGGCTGTTTAGATTTGACGTCCATTGCTCCTGATCCAACCCCCGATCTTCTTGACTTTATCTTGATACCGGGCTTCGGTGGGGGAGGAGGAGGTAGTGCGATAGATTATGTGCAAGTCAGCCAGGGTCAAAAAGTAATTCTCACGCAACCCACCGTCCCTGCAACTACCCTGTCGTAGGGCACACGGTGGGCATGTTCGTTCGCAATGGTTTAACATTTGTTCCTCAAACTGTGCTTTTTAAAGCCCTCTCAAGGCGAGGTCTAAAATAATAAATTTTGTCCATCACAATCGAAAAGATCCCTCTCCATGTCGGAGAATACGCAGCAGTGATTTGCGCGTGTAGTTGCCTATAATGAAACAGGACTTTCCAGCATTCATTTCTCCTGAAATGTTCCGATCACGGGCAGAATCAGAGTGAAAGGAGATGGTCGCGAATGCGGTGACTGACAAGGCCAACCAGCCCGTCTTCGCGTTCCACACGCCACCCGGCCTCTGATTCCGCATGCGGGAGGCTTTATGTTAGGAGGTCCTTGATCTCACGTGGGCCAGCGTGCATTAAACCTCACATTAGGATGGGCTCACCGCAGCCTGACCTTTAGTCATGACTAGAACCGAGTTATCTCACTGGTTGGCAACCTTCCAAGCCGAAATCGTTAGTGAGCCGTGATAGTCCAAAAACGCGACTGACTAATTATACGAGGCAAATTAAACGCTTAAGAAAAGCTGAAACGGTTGAAATAAGGACCCCCATACTACCTGTGACCTGCGCTAAATTCCAGCGGGGTATACCCATTCCCGTTCCCCAACCTTAACCCTAACAGTAACCCTAACTCTCTATGAATTTGACGCAGTGCATGTTCCGTCCCCCAACATTGAAGCAATCTTTCCCTCTGATCCCTCTTAAATATCAATAGCAAATACGAGTAAAAGCAATGCGAGATGAGGCTGGGTCCGGTGATTGAAGGGTCTGGTCTCCATCTAGGGTGGCGACTTTAAGTTGCACATATCAACTTCGGTATATGTCGCTGTTGGAAATAAACCTATTTGATGTGCTTGTTGCTACCTTCACACACTCTCGATTCTCTTTCGTTCCCTGCTAAAATTCCGTATTTTATTTTCTGTTGACTAAAGTATGCTCATCTTCTTAAACGGTCCTACCTTAATTTGCGGATTTCTCCCTCTCTGACCACTGAAGGTATAATATATGACACAACTGTTTATGTCATTCTGTTATTTATAAAGTCGGGCACCTCTGTCCTAACACCTCCCTGCTATTTCATCATCATCAGTACTTTGGAAAATTACAAATTGCAGTTTCCACGAATCTGCCCGCCGTTCAATTATTTGCTCTGTTAATCGCAGCCACGTATGGGTAAACTATCTGAGATTTTTGATTCGCTTTTCGGCCTTAAGAAAATTCTGTGCTGCCGGACATCTCGAAATAGTTTTCTTCTTTTATTGCTGCATTTTTACGATGAGACGTCCCCTCTTAAAACTATCTCATTTCGGTTTTTTATTGTGATTCTTTCCCGCCTTCAAAACTAATTTTCCTGATTTCAGTCTGTCAAGGAAACTCTGCGACTTTGTCCAGAATCTGCAGCTCGTTTTTAGTTACGAAGCCGCCCTTTCATCTCACCCCTCCTCAGATTACAAAGTTTTAGCCCCATAGGGGACTTCATAGTAATCACTAGTGTGGAGGACTCTACCATTGGTCTATGTGTTAAATGTCAACTTGTATTCCATGTTTTCAAGAATTGTTCACATTACCTGCCAGCATGCTTATCTGAGAAGTGGGTTCTGCTGAAATGTCAAATGACTGTTTAATACACCTTCAGTGAGGACTGCTCTCCCGATGTTGCGCTTCGTAAGCTTCCATCTGACTAACATGCATTCTTTAGGTGTTTGTGTATAGCCCCGCCATGGATCCTCGAGTGGTCTCTTAAAACATGGTGCCGTTTGAAGAGATCCGTAACTTCAATTTCCATATTCGGGTTTTGCAGTCTGTTCTTAGTTCGGGGCTCCCGCCTTTGCTCCATCCTGCATTCATTTCCTTCTTTTTAATATCCCGTTTCTCGTACTTCTTGGTCTATATCCGGCGGCTTAAGCACATTAACATTCCATAGTCTTTTATTGGTTTGGTTTTTATTTCCTAATTTTTACCATCTCTCGGTAGCCGAAATTCTGAAATGAGTTTTCGATTCGAAAAAATTAATTAAGTAGGGTGGTAAGATTAATCAACGTGCAGCATGGTATTACGATAATTCAGCTACTTTAGAATGCCAGTTTTTGAACGAACTTCTTTTCGGCCGCCTGCAAAAACTCTGTAAAAAATGACTGCTGATGTAGTATGGATTTTGTTGTTGGCTTTCGACGCACTTATAAATTCAAATATATTTCATTGAAAACATATATGAAAAATTCATTCCCTTACTCATTTGGTAAATACGTACGTCTTCTTCAAAATCTGTACTTTAAAAAAGAGTATAACTCGGTTTTTAAAAAGTTTTTAATTGTGAGATTTTTTGAGACCCCAGTATGCCCGTTCATAAGGCATCGTGTCTCTGAATTTACTAATGTTGCTTGTTATGTTTACAATTTGGTTCAAATCCACTGCCAAATTTAATGAACTCCTATATGATCTCCTCTTAGTGGCGTATAGAAATGTATAATTTTCCGCACATGAAAAACATACAGCTTTTAATTTGGAAACCCTGAATGCAAGAGTAACAGCAGGTCGGGTTGTAAATTATCTGGGAATTGGAAAAGTTATTTAAAACCGAAATACATCCTTTCTTCATGTAAAAAAAATTTGAAAACGTAGTTCTATACTAAATGAGTAGAGGAATGAACTTTTTTATATATGCTTTCTACGAAATATATTTGAATTAACAAGGGCATCGAAAATCGACGAGAAACCTCAAACTACTTAAGTAGTCGTTTTTACAGAACGTACTTTTCGCAGGAGGCTGAAAAGAACTTCTTTTGAAAGCTGGCATCCTAAAGTAACCGAACAATCGTAAAACCATGCTGCGTAGTGATTAATATTATCACTTTACTTAATTAATCCTTGCGGATCGTAAACGCATTTCAAAATTTCGGTTAACATTTCATGAGTGGGCACATCTATTATGTATAAATTTCTTACTTTCCATTCTTACTTGGTGTCAACATTCGTCAGGATATATAGACCCAGTAGTACAGTTCTGCCCGTTATGCCCAAGTAGAGCAGCTTCCAATTAGGACAGGCCGAAGCAAAAAATGACCCTCCACAACCAAAAGGCCGTTTGCGTAAGATGGGGACGACCCGAAACCCCGATAGTTGGGTTACCGTAGCCACTCCTGACAGTGGAGGTAAATCCGTTTCCTATCAGCCATAGTCTACCCCTCCCAATCGGTTTTTTGTTTAGAAAAAATTGCGCACTTTATAAAATGCCTTACGCAGGACCGCAATATTCTACTCTCCCCTTCACTTATGCTCAACATCTAACTGGAATTTTGTATTTCTCATTGTTTTAGTCTAATGTTTCATGAAGGTGCTTTGTCGAAATTCTTAAAGCATTCTGCGTTTTCCTCAAAAGGCGACTGAAGAGAGCTAATGCATTCCTTTGTTGTCAGGTACCTAAAGTATTTTAAAACAAAAATAAATATTCTGTTGACCTCTGCACTTCAACCCTGATCACAGATGGTGTCAGATTTTCTTAAAAGAATTAATTAGTCTCAATTTTTCATAAAAAGTCTTTCAAGACAATAAAATGAGTCAGATTTTTACCTTAAGAAACGTTCGCTCAGTTTGATAATTGTTCCTTCTTCCGAAAGTTTATTTACTTCATTAAAATTGCCAGCATTGACGTTGGGACCTTGGACTGATACCCATTCATTGATTAATCGCGGTAAGAGTAAATTACCGGCTCAAAATTTGCTTTGCTTCAATCGTAACTTATTGTGCATCGATGGTCCTACGTTTATCTGGTAATAGACGTGCCAGGAGAACTTCTCAGGCCATGTTCACCGGTGAATATTTGGACACAGCAGCGCCAAAGTGCCAAAGGCCGTCGTACAGCAGTGCTAACTGTGGCCTTTTGCGACGCGATCTGCTATCTAAGCAGTACTCTTTCTTGCCATCGTTTGGGTTCAACTTTTTTCCTGTTTTAACAAGTTTAAATGCGGCATCTCCTCTACTGTTGCTTTGGACGTGGGGCAAACCCTCACCGCAATGGATCTTCCTTTATGCAGTTGAGACTTTCATGAGCTCAGGGCCTACTTATTGGGTTGTCCGTGCGTCGGTCGCTCTTACTTTCGCCCTTTTTATTACCATCATTGGTCAACCCTGACATAAACGCTCTGCCCAAATTGTGAACATGCAACAGAGTGCAAGTTTTGCCTTGGTGTGCCATAAAAGTTCTCATGTATTACTCTTTCCAGCCTTCGGAACCTTCGCAAACTCGCGCGGTCAATCGATCATCGATCAACTGTCAGCCCATTGAGTCTTTGTTTATTTCTCGTCTACGGCCACTTCTAAGATGTCATCAGGAGCATCCATTGCTACTCCAGATGCCCAGTCTGGACCCACGGATGCACCCGCAGCATATAGTTTCAGCGTTTTCTACTTTCCGTTTGCCGAAATCAAATCTGCACCTCTCTTTGGCAATGTTGTCCACAGAAGGCTGAAATGCGCTCAGTTTACCAACTTCCTACGTACCGTATGGCACAGGGAGCTGAGAAGAAGGTCGTTGGCCTGCCTTGAAGGCAGACGGGTTTTGCCTTGTCTTCGGTCAAAAGAATATCCTGTGAGCACTCGAGACGGTTAAAATCGTCAGAAAACCGGTATTTTTTCATTTCTACTGACTGTGAAAATGCTAAACTCAGGCCACCAGAAAACAGGTGCTTCGAAAGGAAATCAAACCATCATAGTCCCTGCTGAGCAATCGTCAAACTGGACACTGCCTCCCCCTCGTGAACCAAACAATTTTATTTGGTTTTGCATACAGTCGACATTCACGACCAAGGCAGTAGCCGGGGCATTAAACCATCTGATGCGATAATGGTTTTACCGTCTGATTTGCAGCCGTCATACCCCTGCCGACCCGAGCCCGATTTAGTCGGGGAGACATCAAATATCTTTGGGGAATCACAAACCTGATTTAAATTCCCGCCACAGGTGAACCCTGGTCAGTCGTTATATACCTTAACACTGCCATGGATTTCACTGCGTTTAATCAGGGGAAAAACCTTTGAGATTAAGAGCTCTCCATGTATTCTTATGGTATCTGGACTTCAAAATCATCTTGTCGATAGGTGACGCCCATGCTAGCTTCTATTTGCCGTTCATGTGTGTACTTGGACAGCAAGCGACGACCCTACAACGGACTACGCGGGAGTTGGGCCGGGCCAACGCGGGAACCAGATCTGGGTACGGCACACGTTACTGACTGTCCGTCCCCCTATGGCACGCCTATGCGCAGGCTCGGACCGCGCCGACGGCTTGCTACCAATCTCCCTTCGGCCCTCTTGGCCCCGTTCTGACCCCATGCCCAGTAGGATAAGAGGGAGGGAGGGCGGTAGGTGTTGTGAAGGTCTACCGTTAAAATAAACTAACTCACTCCCAAGTCACTGTCCCTGTGTCCCCCTGCTGTGGGGTATAGGGTGGACATCGCCGCCAGCAACGGTCGAACTGTCAACGAACATCCCGCAAGCGGATCGGCTTCGTCGGACATCTCCGAATTCAATGCATCAGCCCGACAACCTCAACCGCTGCCTCTCCTACCGCCCCTGCTCGAACTCCCACGGCCACCAAAACAACGACCGCTCTCGCTGCTGATGTTCACCATCTCCGTACCTCGCCCCGTCGATCATCCTCACCTTCATTATTCCTATCACAATCTCCGCGGCAAGGATTGCGACCACCACAGCTCCAACCCCCACCCTCGAACACAACTCCCCGGCGACCTGCCAACCACTATCATTACCAGTACCATCCCCATCTCCATCGATGTGGGCTCCGTCCTCACCTGTCTCCATTGTGATTGTACACTCACCTTAATCATTTACTTGCTCAGCCACTTGCGGATACATCGCGCCGCAACCGTCACACCAGTGCCAGGAACCCCCACACATTCGCAACATCTGCCTTCACCGTTGACACTGTCCAGGCACATTTGTACACCGCATGGGTATATTCGATTACATGCGTATCCACAACAGCGGAATTCAGCGCACTTTCGACACACCTTATACACCTTGATCGTCAAACATCCCTCCAGACGAACCAATTTCCTATTGACCAGCGTGACCACCGCTAGCGGCATCACAGAGAAAACCAACCCAACATCCCCCAACCTATCCTGCCCACATTGTTACCTCACGCATTGGCCCGGACGGTCACAGCGAATCCATCGCAAGGGGCTGGCGAAATAGTCCCTGGAGCGCCGACAATACATCAGCCGCCATTGCCTCGTCTGCTCTCACTGCCCCCGTACATTCAGCCATCGCATGAGTCTACTAGGTTACATGCACCTGCGTGAAAACCTGCCGTAGAACACAGCCGGCTATATCGTACCACCACATCTCTCCCCGCCAGTGCCTTCAAGACATGCATGTCAAGCACTGCTCTCATTCCCCGCATCAAACAAATGACCGGCACAAACAGTGATCGGGGAGGGGGAATTGGAATAGAGAGTAAGGTCAACGTCTCAACGCATTTTCCTCACAACAAACGGTCTCATGTGTCTAAATTTATCACATTACGTTAAAAGCCCTGGTTTGGAATGATATAGACTGACGGAATAATTTTGAATTCGCAGTCAGCCCTGTGTATGTTTGTGCGGAGTGGCCAACTGGCGGACTGAAGGCCAGATTGAAGTTGCTCCTTCTTTGTGTGGCTATGACGCTTCCACGCCGTGGAATCCGAGTCGCCTCCCTCCCTACTTGTTGGGTAAAATCCTGATCACTGCCCGTTGTTTGCCAATGGTGTGCTGGTACGCCTAAGCGGGAGCGCACGCCGCGTCAGCAACTTGCGCCTCACTCCACCTCCGGTCTTCATGACTGTGTCTTGACACAGGGCTCAGGTGAGTGAGGGAGGAGTGAGTGCGATAATTGTAGGATAAGTCCACCATCAATATAAACTAATGCGCGCGCACGTCACCGTCTCTGCTGTCACCCTGTTGTGGAGCTCACGGTTGACGTCATCCAAATCAACGGTCGAACAGTCAGAGAGTAATTGGCTGGAGTACCGTAAGGGGGGGGGAGTTGCGAGAGTTAACCTCGTTCTTTATTCCCTTCTCCCGACACCAGTCAGCCATCCCAACCAATCGGATGTTGGGATTTGACAAACGTGCTTCAGAGAGCTCAGTCGTCGTCTGCGCGTGTCACACGCGACCTGGCCGCACACAATGCATCACATTTTTGCAAAATGGAAAAATTCTCTCTTGCGATTCCCATCAAAACCGTGCAATTTTTTCAAAAGTACAAGGACTTCTTTTGAACATTAAGTTGCAATTGGTAAATGGGTCTGGCAGACGTTTTGTTTGTCTCCGACAGAAAAAAAATTCGTTTTAGCTACGTACCGCAACCAATTTTTAAAGTCTAAGATTCGGAGTGGTCCTTGACTTGTTGTCGCAATATAAGGGAAAAGTGCCGGTTCTATAAACTGTAAAAAGCAGTTTTATCGGGAGAATTTACGAAATGTTCGTGAATGAGGCAAAAAACCCTCCTCATGGACGAAGTAATTGGAGGAAAATTATGCGAGAGCGGTTGTCTTTCTTCAATGTGGTTAATAGTCCTCAGTAGTCAATAAATCTACATATCCCACCTCACAACCGCTAAGCAGCATCTTAGACAGCTCAGTGGCCATGAGCTCGCTCCCTGTAATGTACACGTTGGTGTGCTTCCACGTCTGCAATGCCTGTTTTGGGTTTTGGAAGTCTCCTTTTATTCGGGTTCGCTTACAGACACCGAGTTCTTTTCCGACGGGTCGCATACTATTCCATTCATTTGACGGCAGATATCTAGCTAGCGTCAAGCTGGAATTGAGTGGGGTTATGACTGTGTAGAGTACTTTGTCACTGTCTCTGATCTAAAAATATGCATCCTTACTTGTATAGAACTTGGAATTTAGTTCTTTGGAAATTCAAATCTCTGTATGCTTCTCATTCGTTATCTTCGATATGCGGATACAGGTTGCAGTTGTTAAGCCATTGCGAAATTTGTTGGTTCCAGTAAATGCTGCTGGGTATGCCTGTTTCAGTTTCATACCGAGGAAATATTGCTTCAGAGTTCCTTAATAGGCTAGCTTTATATGACTAGACGTTTTCTCACAGTTATTTATTAAAAGTCGATCCAGGCACTCGTCTTTTTAACAGTTAGTGTTTAAACATGCAGAGACTGGCCAGGTCACTTAAGTAATACCTGGGTCTTTAGCTTGGACTCAAAAGTATCTTTGATTCTGCCTGTGGATTAAGGATAAAATGCCAACTTGGTGTTTTTCGTTTGAGCATTTGCCTAATACTGCCTTATATCAGTTTACGCCCTCTTTACTTGACTGTTCTGATTTTTATCAAAATGACTTTTGACTGGAGTTGTTCGCTGAATCATCGAGTTTTTCTACTTTGCTATGCGTTTGTTGAGAACGCACGTCATCAGGAGATCTCATAGCGCGGACCTCACTTGCGACCAAGATAAAATAATAATATATGTCTTCGTTTGTTTTTGAATACTGTGTAAAGCAGCCAGCATCATGAATACGTCGATTCTGCTTCAAAATAGTTTAAGCGCAGCTCAGGAGGTGCCTTCATTCAGGGTAGTTTACTCGGCTCGCCATTATTTTGTCCTTTTGTAAACGATGTACCGGATTTATTTCAGAATGGTAGGCTCTGCGTGCATGCCGATAATTTGAAAGTGGCATATAAATACAATCTAGCAAATCGTGACATCGTGCTCGAGCTCCTAAAAAGCGACCTACAGGAATTTGCCCAGTGTTGCTGCACATGGCGCCTTTCACCTTCTTGCTCAGTCACGGTTGTTGGCGACAACCACCAACCTCAGCTAAGTACTGACCTTCGCGAAATAAATGTGTCCGAAGTCATGAAGTATCTGGGTTATCATACTCCAAGAGTCTTAATCTTTCGGAGCTCTGTGCCCTGATAGCCTCCAAAGCACGTAGAACAACCGAGTTTATCCTTCGAAACTTTAAAACCGGTGATGTTAGAATGCGCGTTTGTAACATGCACGTTAGACCTGGCCTGGAATAATATTCGTTTTCATTTAGTCTCGTTAGGGCTACTGAGCGGAACAAAATAGAATCCGGCAAACATTTTTTACCAAGAGAGTTTTAACCCCGGAACACCGGACTTTGTCTCCCTAAGAACGTTGCCGGCTTAGAGGTTTTGATCCTTTATGGTTTTTTAGATTACAAAAGTGACTATTTTTACTATCTAGGCTTCTATATAATCGTCCCTTTAACCCACTCACTACTTTAAGACATCTTGTCCAGGGTGCCGTAACAGTCACCGTGAGGTCTTTTTATTTCCTCCTATGGCACCTACCGTTAAATATCGTCGATCGTTTTCTGTGAACACAATTGCTATTGGGAATAAACTACCCAGGAATGTGAAATTTTTGAAAAATTGTGCTTTGTTTAAGAGAACTATTACTCGTTTTTGCTTTCAGAAAAACTGCCGAAAATTTTGGGTACTGAATCCACTGATCGAATATACCGTAGCGATGGCGTTTGTAGTGTCTGATCCCCATGGCCGGTCTCACCAGGGACAGCTCCTTCAGTCAACAGCGACAACTGTTCTTCAGTGCTTCTCTTTGGTCCAGTCCCAACTTCATGAGAAGAAATGGCGACTGAAGATATCCGATTCAGTGCTACCCCTCCCTTTTTTGACTGCCGTCATTTCATGGACAGCAGTTGTTTTTCTCCCGAACCCTTCAAACTACACAAGAACATCGCCCTCCTTACGTAATTATCAGGAGTTTTTTTCACTGCTGGCCGGATTTGTGCTTTATCTTTTCCTGACAATGCCTGTGAAATGGCATTAAATCAATTATTATTATTATCACCTACAACTATGAAAGTTCCTTTAAAGGCGAAGAGAACATCGGTTGCCATTTTGAATTTCCTGACGCATTGAGAGAAGGGCTTCAGAGATGACAGGTACCTTCCGTCTATGAAGTATTGATGATAATCTCTATTTGCATTTTCCTCCTTCGTGAGTCGCAGTGCGACACAATTGTCAATGTTACACCGCAGCAATCATTCACCGGAAAATTCGCACAGGCAGTTAAGTCCTTCATTCAGAACCCCTCCATCAGTTTCACATTCGATCCTTTACCATACTCTAATGTCACCTGCAGGCATAACTCCCCTACGTTCAAGTCCATTTATGCAGTCGTTGGCATAAATGGGAAGATAAGTGGTCTATGCACAGAATCTTGACGTACTTCACTCAAAACTACCACTTACATTGATTTCGAATTACCAATGATCACAGACTGCTGTCCGCTGATCAAGTAGTTCCTCATCCAGTGGGGTGTTTTCTCTGTTATCGTAGATTCTCGGACATTATGGAGTAACCGGTGCTACGGAACGCTATCGAAGACTATCTTTAAAGCCGATATAAACGACGTCAACTCTTGTGACTTCGTCTAACGAGCGGAATCACTGTTTTATTTAACACAGCATGTTGGCCGAACGAGAGTGGTTTTATCGAAAGTTATGCTGAATAATGCCAAAGATATTCTTCCGTTTGAGGAAATTCCTACTGGCTTTTTTGATTATCATTCCAATAACTTTGCAACAAATGTATTTTAGGTCCACCGACCGATAGTCGTTAGCACCTGTTCTGGACCCACCCTCGTGGATGAAGCAACTCTCGACATCTTTCAATCAGAGGAAAGAAGGCCTAGATCAATAGACAACTACAAATGTGCGAAAGTGGTTTAGACGGTTCGCAAGTGGGCTCATTAGAGCCAGTTGACGGTATTTGGTCCGAAACTGGGGAAATTTGTCCCTTAAGCATAAGAACTCACATCCTTACATCTTCTGTGAAATCGATGCTTCCGATTAATGCACCGTCTGTCACGGTTGGAAAGTCAACCTGGCCAAGGTCCGCTTCATCGGCATCCGGTCACCTCTACTCG